AAAAGAATGGCAGAGTGTCTTAGACAGTGAAATATGGGAACTTGAAGTGGCTGAGGAAGGTCTTTTTCGCCCCTTAATGTTTAGCTATTTTGATTTACCATCACACTTGAGGCAATGTTTCTCATATTGTGCAGTCTTTCCAAAAGATCATGTGATAGAAAAAGATAAGTTAATTGGGTTATGGATGGCACAAGGTTTGCTTAAGGGGACCCAACATCGAGACATGGAGATGGTAGGGGAAGACTACTTCAATGACTTGTCAATGCGTTCTTTTTTTCAAGATTTTGAAAAGGATGCAATTGCTGGCATTATCAGGTGCAAAATGCATGACATTGTACATGATTTTGCTCAATTTTTGACAAGAGGTGAGTGTTTGATAATGGAAGCGGGAAGCAGTAGTAGCATTGAAGGTTTCAATGAAAGTGCTCGTCATGTGACATTGATGATTCCAAATTCTAGTGATGGATGTGCTACTCGTATTTATGATGCTAGAAACTTGTACAGTTTACTAGTTGATTCTGATGGAGTTGGTGAACATGATGTAGATTTACTGAAGTTGTTTGAGAAGCAGAAATTCCTGAGAATATTGAAGTCTCAATCTGCAAGAATTAGTAAGTGTTCAAAACAGATGGGAAATTTGATACATTTAAGGTCTCTTGACTTGTCAGATAATATATTTTTAGAGGAATTGCCTGAGGCTGTTTGTTATTTATATAATTTGCTTATACTAGACATTAGTGGATGTGGGCAGCTTAGAAGTTTGCCTTGTAGAATGGGAAATCTAATAAATCTGCGGCATCTTCGGAATGTGTGGACAGATTGTGTGGAATTCATGCCTAAAGGAATGGAGAAATTGACTTGTTTGCGAACATTAAGTTCTTTCGTGGTGGACAGTGGTGGTAAAGGAGCTGCTCTTAGTGAATTGGGAAACTTGATTCACCTTCGAAGGAAGCTTGGGATAAGAGGATTGAGAAATGTCAGAGATGAGAGAGAGGCTGAGAAGGCACAGTTACGAAATAAGAAAGGGCTCACTACTTTGGTTCTAACTATTGGTTTGACTTACCATGATAAAAGGGGAGTTTCTGAAGCATCTGTTCTTGTTCTTGAAGCCTTAGAGCCGCCTTTAGGCTTGGAAAGTTTACAAATATGGGCCTACAAATGCCCAACCCCAACCTTAGGGGTTTGGCCCAGTTGGATAGTGTCTCTAACCAACCTGAAGTTCTTTGGGCTCGGTAATTGTGTCGACGTTGAACGGTTGCCTCCCTTATGGAAATTGCCATCACTGGAATCGCTCTGTGTGTCGAAAATTGGAGGAGTGAAAAAGGTAGGAGTTGAATTCTTGGGAATAGAAACGTCATCTTTGTCTCCATCTTCTTCTTCATCATCTGTTGTTGCCTTCCCCAATTTAAACTCACTGCAATTTTGGGATATGGAGGAGTGGGAAGAGTGGGATTATGGAAGCAGAGGAGAAGAGGATATCAAAATCATGCCACGTCTTTCTTCCTTGGTGATTGAGAGCTGTGAGAAGTTAAAGATGTTGCCGGATTCTATTCTCCAAAGTACTACCCTCCAGAATTTGGAAATTTCTGGATCTCCAGTTGTTTCAAGTCGCTGCAAAGGGGAATACCAGCCCCATATCTCTCGCATCCCTAAAGCGGACATCTGGTGAAAACCTCAAGTCTGTACAAGAGCAAGGTACTTCACTTTTGCTTATAACATGTTCAATTTTTTTTATTTTTGAGTGAGCGACAAGGCCCGTACATATTCAAATATTATTAAATCA